AAACCTGCGGTGCTCTGGTTAAAGTGTGATGTTCCTTTCTTCAGGAAGATGAGGTGGAGTGAGACCAAAAAACTTCCTCTGAAGATCCACGGCCACGCTGTCGTCTCCCACAGAGGAATGGTCTACTGCATCGGAGGAAAGACGGACGACAAGTGAGTGTGTGTGTGTGTGTGTGTGTGTGTGTCCTGACACACCAGGCAGCAGCTGTTGGTCGTCTATCATCCCATCGGACTGCACACTTACTCTGCTGCGTCCATGATCTGATATGTTACCACCAGGGACGTTTAAAGATGGACGACATGACAACATGGCTGTAGTGGAGGTCATAAAACATATATGATGTATTAAAGATGTGTTAATCCTCCCTTGTTCTCCGCAGCAAAGCGCTCAATAAGATGTTTGCGTACAACCACAAACAGTCAGAGTGGAGGGAGCTGGCGGCCATGAAGACGCCCAGAGCCATGTTCGGAGCCGTCGTCCATAACGGCAGGATCCTGGTGGCCGGGGGCGTCAACGAGGAAGGACTCAGTGCGTCGTGTGAAGCGTACGACTTCACAACCAACAAGTAGGATTCTGTTCTCTACTTTCTCTTCTCTTCCTAGTCTGGTTAGGAATTTGTGTTTGTTGCAACACATTGAACTAACTCGAAGTTATTCTTTCATTCTGTCGGTCATTAGGAAACTAAAAGTGAAATGGAATGAAAAACAACATGTAATGAATTGTACAGTGTTTATCCTCTTAACTGCAGTGAATCACTCTGTCTTAATTATTTATTCCATATTCGAGCCTCCATATTTCATGTCACGACCTCGAAATATAAAAGGCTGAATTTCAACCAATACACCGAAGTTCAAAAGACACAGCGAGGCTCCATCTTACACTTGACCTTCTCTGAATGCCACCTCTCCTCAGGTGGGAGCCCTTCACAGAGTTTCCCCAGGAACGGAGCTCCGTCAACCTGGTGAGCAACAGTGGCGCTCTGTTCGCTGTGGGCGGCTTCGCCATGGTTCAGATGGAGAACAAGGAGGTGGCTCCCACAGAGGTCACTGACGTCTGGCAGTAAGTCTGAACCTCCGGATCTATTCTCCTGTCGGTTGTTGTGGTGAGATCTAACGCTGCTGTGTCTGTCCTCAGGTACGAGGACGATAAGAAGCAGTGGAGCGGGATGCTGAGGGAGATGCGTTACGCTGCCGGCTCCTCCTGCGTGTCCATGCGCCTCAACGCTGCCAGGATGGCCAAGCTGTAAACAGAGTCGCTCCAGAAACCTCCTCCTCCTCCTCTCTCTCTCTTTCCATCCTGCCTTTCTCTGTCAAGTTGACCTTTGACAAGGAACTCAGACATTTCTTATCTGCACTGTAAACACTCGGCTCTGCACCGTCTCCACACTATCAGAAGAGAAGCCACAGTTTAGATCCCTGAAGCTCTGTGTTCGTCCTTTCTCGCTCTTCTTTTGTAAAATAAACTCTTCTTTGATTGTTTTGATCTCGTCTTTGTCCTTTTGGATAAACAGGGAAGTGGGTTAATAAAAGTACATTTGGTATTTAAACCCAGATAAATTATATTCAAACACATCTCGCAATCATTCATGTGTGTGTCAACAGCAGGTCCCAGATAAACTCGACAGGAAAACGTGAGGTGAGTGTCTGTAAGTCGTTATGATGTTCAGTGTTTTCATTAGTGCTTAAATTCCATCACACATGAGCAGCGGGGAACCTAGATCTGCAACGATAGATCACGAGTCATGTGTACTTTAAGAGACGTTAATGTGACGAGGAGGAAGAGGAGGAAAGAGAAGCTCCATGTGTTGTTGCTGAGCCTCATGAGACCAACTGTGATTTGTGAATGTGGGCCACACAAATAAAGATTCATTCAGTTCTCTCTCGTAACTCGGTGGACGTGAAGAGATGAAACACGGGGATCCCTGGAATATGTTCGTGGGATCCTTGGCTGACGCAGTCTTTAACCTGAAACCAGGGTCTGTCTGTGTCAAATTCAGCTCTGAGGTAATCGCCTGTTGAATCTGTCACTGGACTTACCTCTTGTTTTCTCTGCAGTTCCACCTGAAACCAGTTCTGTGGATGATCTTGAAAAAAACAATGCGACCCTTGCACTTTATCAGCTCAGGCATGACACCAGGAAGTGGGAGCTGATGCTGAGAAACAACTGGAGTTTCCCCCCCTGGGTGTGGAAACTGGACGAGTGGGAGGAGGAGTGACACGGGAATGGATGTGGACAAGAGACAATGAGACGCAGAAGGTTCGGACTGAGGACGCTGTGACTATCAGTGAGTAGAAAATGATTTTGTGATATTTTTACAGATGAATTGTTTTAAGGAGAAGAAGCTCCCACCGTGTGTTAATGTCACCTCACATCCATAACGAGAGCAGCTGACAGCTGAGGAAGCTGTAGGTGCTGTCATATCAAGGGGAGGAAGATTCTGTTTGTTTCTCTCCCACTGAGTTCGCTTGATTGTTTGTTTCTTTGCTCGTCTGCTCGCCTCCGGGTTTTTTCTTCCTTCCTGCAGCAGTAATCACCACCGGCAGTCCTGAGGGGAGGTGAGGGGAAGAAGGAAGGAGGATTCGCTTAAAGCCGTCTTGTTATCACATGTTTTCATCCACTCGAAACTTCCATCACGAAAAAGAACAAATGCAGCATTTGTTCATCATACTTGAAAATGCAAAGCTGCCAATCAATGTTCTTATTTTTCTCACGACTTCTTCACACTCGACATATTCTCACACACATGAAGTAGCTCAAAACAAACTCGGGCCACCTTTAGTCGTGGTCCAGATCTGAGGATCCGCCCAATTGCCAACATTCCAAGTGGCATGTGTGCTGGAAGAGGACCAACACAATCTGACTCTATGTGTTTAATGTTTAATGATTTAGTTTCAGGGGAAAAAGCTCGAAAAAGATTAGTTGTTCTACACAGATTGAAAAATACAGATAGAATTCAATGTAATTCAACTTTCAAGACCATTAAGCAATTGAATAAAATCTATAATTTCCTGTTCTGTTAATTTACACATTATATTTTATTGTTAATATTTTGAGTCAAAGTCATTTATTGTGTTTTTAGGGCGTTGACGCTCGTTTGAGTTTCAGATCTGTTCGACAGATCAACAGAAAATGAATCATTACATTTCTAAACCATTTTAGTAAAAACATCCTGATTGTAAAATTGTTTTTAAAACAGGCTCCGCCATGGAGAGCATCCTCTACCATGGAGACGACCACAACTGCACGTGTGTGGACCGACTGATGAAACGTTATTTCCTGCCCATCTCCTACTCTCTCATCTTCATCGTGGGCCTGGTGGGAAACGTGACCTCCATCGGCGTCTACCTGACGAAGCTGCGACCCTGGAAGAGCAGCAGCATCATCATGGTCAACCTCGCGCTGACCGACCTCCTCTACGTCCTCAGCATGCCCTTCCTGGTCTACTACTACAGCAACGGGGACTCGTGGACGCTCGGCGACTTCATGTGTCGCTTTGTGCGTTTCGGGTTTCACTTCAACTTGTACGGAAGCATCCTCTTCCTCACGTGTCACGCAGTCTTCCGCTACTTGGTGGTGACGAGGCCTTTGATGGCCGCACGGGTGCAGGAGACGTTTTGGGGGATCGTTGCGTGTTTGTCTGTCTGGATCGTCACCACCGTTGAGATAACTCCCATGTTGTCGATAATAATGTTACAAGAACACGACAACAAGACGTACTGTTTGGACTTTGCGAGCTTCATCAGTGCTAGCACTGATGACAAGCGCTGGTATAGCTGGCTGCTCACTACACTCGGGTTTCTACTCCCCCTAGTGGTGGTGTTCATCTGTTACATCGGTATCGTGCGAAAGCTCGCAGAAGGGCCCGGCATGAGCACTTCCTGTCGGATGCGAGCGCGTCGCGTGACCGTACTGATCCTGGTGGTGTTCGTTATGTGTTTTCTGCCGTATCACATCTTGCGCGAGTTGCGAATAGAAACCCGAGGTATGCAAGAGACACCGTGCATGGTGGAGCGGGTCGTCCACGCCGCCTACATCATCTCCAGGCCTCTGGCTGGACTCAACACGTGTTTCAACCTGGCTCTGTACACTCTCTCAGGTGACAAGTTCAAGGGAGCTTTCCTCAGCGTGTTTCACTGGAAGCGTTGGCTGACCAAGGCCTTCGTCAGCAAAGCAAGCGCTGACAGAGTTGCTGAGTGAGAAACTGTCCAACTCCTGCATTCACTGCTTTCAGACATGCACCGCACCCCGGAGATCTTCAGGAGTTTCGGATTTCCTGCGGACTTTATACCAGGAGCCAGATGGAGAAAGTCCGCAGGAAGTCCGATGTGAGAACACAGCAGGAGATCCTCCGCAGGCGTTGATGAAGCAACAGATTCAAATATGACAAAAAGAAAACGATGAAAAAGTAGCGTCGTACACGTAGAAGACAAAAAAACATGATTTTCCGCAGCAGAATTAATACGTTACATCTTAGGCTCTGGAGATTTCTGTGTTAGTGTGAACTTGTTCGAGCGGAGAATCTCCGGCTGCGTTGTTCATGTGTGAAAGACAAACTCTGAATCTGCTGAGGTCATGTCTGAATACAGCTTCAGTGGACAGGATGGGATCACAGATTGTAAATAAACTGATATTAGTTTCAGGCGGAACGTGTGTGTGTGTGTGTGTGTGTGTAAATTTACATGATTAAAGGTAAAAGCTGTAAAGTTTGCATATCAGATTAGACCTTTAAACACTCTTTGTCTTTATCTGTCAGAGTGATTTACCTGAATATGATATATAACACAATATCATGAAATATTACTTTGTTTTCTAATCATAAGAGTAAAGTTTGTATTTAAAATCAAACTGTGCTGGTTGTGGTGACTAAACTTTTAGTGATCCCTCTTGACATATAATGTGTGTATGTAATTTGCATATAGAGGGAACATGGGGTAGGTTGCAGTTTTATTGTTTGTGTGAATAAAGTGATAACAGAGCTATAACCTGAGCGGAGCTGCGTAAATATAGAAACTGTTGTATTCTAGTGCCGCGATGCAAACTGATGAAAATCCTCTCGTCATAGTCTCCAAACCATAAATATCTGTGTCACACCTGTCGAGTGGAACAATGAGCACATTTACAATTCACACTGACATTCAACAGCTGTAAACAAACACAAAATAAATACAAAACTAAAATAATTACTGAAAAAAATACACAAAACCTACATAAAGTACCTTTGTTTCTTATTGTTAAACCTCCAATTATTCATTTTTAACTTGTGAAGCACCTTGTTACAGTTTTTTTTATAAAGCTGCGAGAAAAATAAAGTTTATTATAGAAACTTTATCATGTGTCGGAAAATGTGTTGTTCATACTGAAACCACCAGGGGTCGCTGTGGCCCCGGTATGAAGAAATTGCGCGGGACACATCCGGATATGGAAAATCAAACCCGGAAGTTGAAAGTGGATCCTTGCTATTTATGGAGCTGGATGTTTTTTTAAATGGGTAAATATACTTTAAAAAGTGATTCTTAATAATAAAGAGGATGATTAAAAGTGTAAAACTTGTAATTTCTCTGTTTTCAGATCTTCTTCATGTTCGCTGAATAAACCGGAGAAACTTTTACTCTGTAAGTTCACGTTTCAAGATTCACACTTTGTTACTGTTCATGTTGTAGAAACTAAGTTCATGTACTAAGATTTTTTTTAAACTACTTTTCTCAAACTACACGTTTATTTCAGCTTCATTTTCAAAACACAGTATGTAACTCTGGCCACTAGGGGGCGTCTGTCAATTAAAATGATAACAAAATATAGTTTGATGAGAAAATCCTCCTGACGAGACCAGACGTCACGTTTTACTCACGTCACGCAGCAAACGCCAAAGAACGATGGCGATGCGTCAGTGACCAATAGACACGCAGGAAGGAAAAACTGCTGACTGGCTAAAAGTTTCCTTCATCGCGTGTCGTTAGCAGAGGTGCTCGTGTTTCTAGAAGCGTGGTTATAATGAGTTAATAGATCAGTGTTTGTATTCTGGCTTCATGTCTGGATGGTGGGAGGAAGAGGAGACGTGTCGTCCATCTCGATTCGCAGCAGATGTTACTTTCTTGACTTTAGAATTAATCGTGTCGCACGTCGTGTATTTGCTTCGTTCCAGATCCTTTGGAAACAGGTGGAACTTTAGAAACGTGATTAAAACGGTTTTACAGCCCAACATCTCCTGCAGCTGCTGATCTGTGAAACAGTCTGAGGATGTGCCGGAGCACTTAGCAGCGTTTTTCTGTGCAAATGGATTTACCTTCCCCATGAGCTAACATTTCTCATTTTCAAAAGCCGACATGCCGCTGTCTGTATCAGGAGTGCTAACAGCTCAGGAAGCAGTGGGTTGGAATCAGACTTCTGTTGATGGCATCGATACCTCGATGTACACATCTTGTGAAAGGTGGAAAAACCAAACACCCGTTTCAAACCTCCTGGAACAAAGTCTCCCTGTCAACACAGACACGTCCTCCGGAGATAACGGAAGCTTTTACGTTATTTGTCTTTCACTGGCTGCGAACTGCTTCATCCTTGATTACAGATGATTCCGCTGCGTTGCCTCCTCCTGGTTTATGGCTGCGATCAAAGCAAATATGAATTCGAGAAATGTTTAAGGAGTTTGTGAGCACAGAGAATCATCATCACGGGCTTATATAATTCTAATCTGTATCTGTTCCATGTTGTGTAAGTAGAATATAGACTGCAGCCGGGGATAGAAAGGCTATTTTAGTCTGTGGACATCACCATTTCCTTTTTCTGCCCCCCCCCCCCCCGATCTCATCGTCACGATCCAAACGTCTGCGTGAAAGAAACAATTCTTAAATGCTCACCAGTGTCTGAGGGAATGTGTAGAAACAGATTGCTTTTCTGCTCGAGTGCAAATGGAAGCATCAGTGGAGCTGCGTGCTGTATGTTTGTCAGATTATGGAAGTAAAGAGGCGTTCAGCCAGCCACCGGGTTGCTTCTGTTCTCTGCCGCACTAGAGTCATGGCCAATTGAACTTTAAATGATCAATTTGTGAGCGAGGAGCCCGTGATCAATGTCCTAATGGTGGAAATACCAATGTTCCATCACCGTGATGTAAGAGCGCTGGAGCTGGAGTCTTTCAGGCCTGCGGCGCTCCTCCAGAACCAGCCTCCCTGTGCGTCAGTGTGTCTGTATGTGCGTGGTTATGGGAAGAAGTTGTCACACCGCGTGAGGATTTAAGATTTTTATGGTGAGAACATGCTGTGAAAAAAGGAGCAAAGCAAGAACATGTGCATGTACACTTGCGAACCAGAGAGGCCGTCAGGGACAAATTTACATCACTGGATGCTGCATGTTTTTTTTATTTTTATAACACATTTCCTGCGAGAAATGGCTTTGATTGTTTCTGCAGCTTCGTCAGTCAGAAAAGAAAAACACAGCGCAGACTACACCGCCAAGTTTGTGCTTTGATATTCCTATGAAGCCAAACACCACAGAGCAACTACAAGATTCCACTGCTCGACACGGCGCTAGATCACAGACATGACACAGATCATCCCGAGAGTCCTTCGCCATTTTGAAAAGATACTAAAATTGCCCCTCGTCATCAGACACGTTATTTTTTCAGTAATTTCTTTGCGAAATGTAGGAAACATTCTCGCTGCTTTGAGAACATTCAAAGCTCTGGCTAATAAATAAATAAATACATTTCACAACTGCAGTGCCAAAACAGCCATAAGAAAAAAACCCAAATACAAAATGTTTATGTTGCCATGACAAATACATCCATCATAAATATTAAGACACCATTGGGCAGTCCAACAAAGCGTCATGAGAGCGGGAGGTTGTTGGCAGATTCACAGCAGAGGCGAGGCCGAGGGGAGACGGAGGGAGACGGAGGGAGGAGAGGAAAGCACGATGAATCAGACAGCCATCAGTCAGCGCCGCGTGTCCTCACCACTGCACCACCTGGCTGCTGTAATCCTCTGTGGTGGCCACGTTCCCAAGCACCTTCACCACGTCCTGCTCCTCGTCTTCCTCCCCTCCTCCTCCTCCTCCTCCTCCCAGTCTCCAGAGCTCAGCCAGATAGGTCCTGTGCAGCTGCTGCCTGTGCTGCCTCTCCTGCCTCCTCCTCAGCCGCTCCTCCTGGTGCTGCCTCTGGCGGTTGTACTGGTAGCGTCTCAGGAACAGCTCCTTGGCGTACTCGTACAGCTCCATGTCGAGGGCGTTCAGCCCCTCGATGCGCCACCGCACCTTCTCACTGATCCCCACGCTGGCTGCACGCGTGCTGTTGAGCTGCGTGAAGGCCCGGATGAAGCGCAGGCCAAACGTCCGCTCGAAGAGGTACTGTGTCTTGCGCTGGAACTCTGTCAGGCCATAGAAAGCCATGTTGCGCAGGTTGGCCTTGGCGCTGGCGAGCAGCACGTGGCCTCGCTCCAGCTCGCTCATGGAGGACATGTTGTAGCAGCCCACCAGGCTGAGGTCGGCCAGCATGCGGACCTGGCGGTTGTTGGCGAGGTTAGACGGGCAGTTCATGAAGTCTGCCAGAGGCACGCCGGTCCAGTCTTCACCATTGTAGCAGGCGGGGAGCTCCTCCTGAGTGGGCGGGCGGCCGTCGCACATGTGGAGAGCTGTTTTCCAAGTGGCCCCGCGCTGCACGTGCTTCCACTCGCTGAGGTAGCGGGACACGGGGTCACGTAGCATGGTGATGTAGTAGAAATTCCTGCAGAGACAATTAAACAGAAACATAAGATGAGATGTCCAGCATGCACGTGATCAGTGAGTGAGAGACAAAGCACCATGTGTGTGAAGGTGAGCTGGAACGTAATGAAGACGAGAAAAACACTTCTCAGACTATACATCACATTTCTCATATCTCGCTGCAGCTAAAACAGAAATACAGAGCAGAAGAAACATCACAACACTGGAGGTATATGGAGCGACTGAAAGTGTGATTAGGGTTTAAATGAAAAACATCATTGAGTGCGTCTGTGGGCGTTAGGGAGCAATGCAAACCAAGCGTGTTTGTCATTTAATATCCTGCAGATGTGAAATTATTTTGGTTTTTGTCTCATCACTTTTCTCCCGTCTACCTCTGGTAATGTGATTTTTTTTTCTCCTCTCCATCTCCAGAACCTTTCGTGTTTGTGAATCACTCTGATCTGCCACAAACGGCGCCTCACAAATTGCTGTAACCCAGCCGCACGGAAACCTTTCAGCTAACAAACAGCTTTCTGTTCGCATTGAGTTCTGCGATGACCGGCATCGCGGCGAGGTGACTGAAGGAGTCGGCGGCGGTAGAATAAAAAAAAAAAAAAAAAGTTTTTCAAAAGGAAAACATGGATGAAAGGGAAATTGAAAAGGTTCATCTCGTGTGCAAAGATCACCATGACCTCACGGTGTCAGACAGAAACCAAATATTAAGCCCACATAAAAAGCCAAACATTTGATTTCTTTCACTCCGGCGGTTTACTCTCTGCAAGCTTTCAGTCAACAGCTAAATAAAGAAGTCGGATTCAAGGACGTTTTGCTGCAATGCTGCTCTGGAAGCTTCTCTTCTAAACCCCATTACATGAATGCTCAGTACATGATGCAGTCCCTTCTCTTTCTCCACTTGTTACCAGAGTGAAACACCTGGTTCAGTTTGTGATAACCAGTCAGTCTGAAACAGTCACTTCAGTTTCTGCAGACATGATAATAAACCTCTTGTGTTTATTCTCAGTTTATCATCGAGTATATCAAGTGTTTCTTTTTTTCTGCTCTCGTTCCCTGAGATGTTGCTGTAAGTTACCAACAGCCTCTTTCCTTGTTCATTCAGAACTAGATGCAGACGGACAACGTTGGGTTCAGTGCAGCCAGAACAAGAAAAGATGTCCGACGTGTATTCAAGTGTCGAGCACAGGCCGTGGGTGAGTTGACAAACTTAACAGATTATTTAAACGGTCGCCGTCTAGTGACGCTGCCATGGTAGATTCTGGTGAAACCATCGATTCATATTAATTCAATCTTCCATTTCTAAATCTGATGTGTATTAGATGTCAAAAGCATCAAGCATGAAACCTGGAGCTTTTACAATGAGAGCATCAACCCGCTGTGAAATTTGATTCATTGAGTTGTGCTGGGGAGGAAAGCGTGCTCCACCAAACGGCCTTAAAAGCTCCATAATTTAGCAATTATCGCCCGGCGGCAGATATCAATCAGCTGTGATATATACTTAAGTGAGTGGCATGATGATATCATGGCAGCGCACACCCGCAGACCGGCACACCACCCACAGATAATGGCCTTCCACAGTGGAAGCTAAGTGAATTACCCTGCCATCTTCGCTGGCTTGAACGGACAGCACTAGATGGATGGATGCACACAAGCGCCTCACAAAGCGGCCTTTGTTGTACTTCCTGGAAAACAGCTCACCCTTTTCCTCCTCTCTGCGCAGCCCAACGAGAGACAGCCAGATCAATAAATGTCCGTGCGACCCCGCCTCCCTGCGTCTGCGCTTTCATTGACAAAGAGCAGCTGATGTCAACGCTCTGCTCCGGCTCATGTCAGGGACAGAGGCGGGGTCAAATTATCAAGGTCAACGATAATTACTCGGGGATTTTTCATTCAGGGAAATAACAGAGTCACCCTTGGTAGAAGTCAGATGTGACCGTCACTTCCATGCATCTTTATTGTTGCATCGCAGAGAATTTATCCACAACAGGGCGGCACAGTTTGAGGTTTCTGTATAGATTTGGTGAATTCAAGGATGCAGCAACAGCGCTCCTACAAGTGAGAACTTCATTTGCACGTCGGGTGCCAAAATAGTTTAAAGCTGTGAGTGCAAAAATAAAACCTGAGAGTGTTGCAGCTCAGAGGTTGCTTCCTGCAGTGAAGGGGATTTTGAAATCGAACCTGCTCTAAATTGATTTTCTTTGTGTCTTCTCGAGGGCAGACGACAAGCTGGAAACACTACACTGTCACATTATCACCTTTTTAAGTTGACAAGCGGAACACCGTACATTTTTAACGTCGTGAATTCTTCTGGTGAAATCCCTGAACGTCTTTTACCTAAAACAGTTTGTGAGTTGAGGAGGATTTCCTCTTCGCCATCCATCTCTCTCAAGCATCATCTGTCACCCGTCACACTTTATTCCACGCCGGTGCCTCGGCTCTTTGCTCGTCTGCTAAATGGCTTTTAAGTCTTTTAGGCCTGATAAGGACAAACCGGGAACGTTTTCTGCGTCCTCATATAAGTGATCGATCGAGCAAAAACCTCATGTTCTCTGGCAGACTTGCAGCTTCTCTGTCAAATAATAGGCACCGTCTCTGTCAGCGCACAACCATGCGTGTGCATGTGATCATGCAAAGCTGTTCCCTGAAGGTATAGTTAAATCAGCTTGTCGCATTTTGCCACCGATCAATCGGAGGCCTCGTTCGTGCCCTTTCCCCGTCAGTCAGCTTTCTCCACACGGCAAACCTGCAAACAATATTGATCGCTCTCTCTCCGTCTCTCTGCCTGATTGTCTCTCTCTCACTCTCTAAATCACCATCAAAAAGCTACAGAGGAAACTCGCTGCAAAAGATCGATATCGGCCTTGTTAATTCACTCACTAGCATCAAGGACACTGCCAGTATCGTGATAAAAGCCCTGATGGAAACTATTTATGCCGCTGAAGCCGCCCCATACAAAAAGTGTCTGGATCAACAACACCCATTCGTCCTTTCTTTGTGAAAAATGAAAGTACATCATGTTGCTTTTAGGCGTTTCTGAAGAGCACTTTCACGGCTCCAGCTCAACCTCACGCTTTCCCAATAAGTGTTGTCAATGAGTATCACTTCTCAAGCCTTTTCTAGCAGCCAAGTCGCAAGAAGAAACAACTTTGAAAACAAGCACAGGACTGCACATCGATTTCACACCAAAGTCAGGGTGTTGATAACTGGCACAGTTGGAGCAGATCCATTATAAAGGTGTTTCTGTGCCCATGAGGCCACTGCACTGCCAGTAAACCAACTCCCCCTCAGTCATTAACATCCAGTTTTATCTCCCTTGAAATCTCTTTTTAATGTTCTGTTGGTTGTGATGATGATGGATTTGTTAAATGTTTTATTATGTGAGTCAGACCTTGTTTCTAACGTTCAATCATAATTTACTATGACGTACGTACGTCCTGTCGCCATCACCTACGTGAACACTGTACTACCCCGGCACGCAGGTCGAACAGGCAAATAGAGGAATTCAAGAGAAATGTCACGGAACAGATGTGGCTCTGATGTGTCAAGCAGGATCCGTTTTCACTTGCCTGATTCTCTCTCTCGCACTAATTTAATCTTTGAGCCCAAAATCTGTGAATAGTGCACGCTCCCATCCTAAAACGTTACCCAGCTAACACTTCTAGATTAATCACACCCAGAGTGAGGAGAGGAACAATGAGCTCTGAGACCAGCGATGCACTGTGATCTTCATCGGTCGCGGATATGAGATGCTATTTTGGGCAAATAAAAAGGAAAAGCCCCAGGGATGCTGCTGCGGAGACGAGGGAGCAGAGAACGCTTGCAGAAGGATGAAGTGTCCAGGCATGCTCGGGTGTGAAGCTGTGGTTTCACTGAGAACGAGGTGACAGACTCTGTGCCGGCTGTAGCCAGCAAACACTTCAACAAATTAAATTGTGCCGAGTATTTCAGGGTTCAAAACAAAGTGAGGTATCATCTTTGCATCTTCCTCTGGAGACGGAATCATCCATCTGTATTTATTCAATTTTGGCCGCCTTTCAGGTAGCGACGTTCTCCCAGAGTTCCTAGAGTTCATTTGGTTTTCAAACACACCCACGGCGGGAGGAGATCCACGCACACAACAACCTGGCGTGTGCAGCTTTAGTAGCTTTAGCGTCTTAGCCTTAACCTTTGCTTGACATCTTAATCTTTGCAGCTTTGTGAAGTGTCAGCCAGTCCTCCAGGTCCGTGCAGCCATGGAAAGGATAAATAGGAGTGTGTGCTCTGCAAAGGTCACATCAACCCATACAAACTGTACTTCTGAAAGGCAATCTTCGTTTTAGAAATATCTGAAGGCTGCTTCAAACCGTGTGATGTTTGTTTGACATTGACGCTGTCAAAAGGATTTTCAGACTTTATCCTTTCCAATAAGCATTACTCTGTAAAACCGAAAGAATAAGATTCTCATCACACGGCAGGTGATATCATAATGTATCATTTAAACTTATACGAGACGTACGTGGTCATAAATGAGTTTCCTCTCATTCACTTCCACAGTTCTATAATAATATATCATTCATACAGTAACTCGGCACAAAATAGAAACCACGAGGCGTTTGATTGATGCCACACATCGATCCGTCTATAACAGAAATAGTTCTCTTGTCTTTAACCAGAAGGTTTTTTTCTAAAGGAATTTTCCATCCAGCCGACAGGTTTTCTACAAATCTGGATTTGTGGATTAATCGGCCCCTTCCTCCACCCTTGTGTAATAAAACCTGTCTTCAACTGCCCCTAATCCCCGCAGGGACTGTGGAGATTACCCAGATCCTCAGAATATCTCACGTTTCTCACAGGAATACGAGACGTTACTCACTGTCACGGAGGGAGAGCACCGAGGGCTTTGATTTAGCTCTTTATCTAATTCCTCTAACTTGATCCAATATCCCACGACAATGAACCACCTCTGGTGACTGAAGAGCTTCTCTCCTAGATTCCAATGATTTCTTTCATTCCTGTGGAAGCTCATGTCTGCCCGCAAAAATGTACGATTACTTTTGATTGTTTTTCATCATTAAGGTATTTAAAAGATAATCTCTTACTCTTGTCTGAAGACTTTCTGGAAGAGGTGATGATAGTTTGAATGGAATGAATGTCAAAATAACAACATCAGTTTAAATCCCTTTATGAGAAGCAGCTTTTTTTTTTTTTTGAAAAACTGATTAAAAAAATGATGCAAATTAGTTTAAAGTTTTTAAAATCCTGGACAACGTGTTGTTAGTGATTTGAGGGAATTTCCCTTCAGACATCTCACCAGTGTGTTAACAACAGCAGTACAAATTAAAATAGACAAATCCACCAGTGCTGGCAGAGCATGGCTTTATCAGTTCATTATCGTGTTCGCACTCATCTCCGCACTCGTCCGTGTTTGAAATGTGGCTGCTGAACAAATCACTGCTCACAGGGAGGATATGTTATACCTTCAGATGGGGCATTGACACTGACGTTCATGATAAACATTCAGATGACATTCCCAGATACTAAAAGCAACGTGTCAGTGTGTTGTGACAATTA